GTCACCGCCGCAACCGATTCCCTCGCGGGCCTTTCCCTTGCTTCGTCCGCGATCGGAGAGAGCGACGGCGGGGGGCAATTCGACGATGCTTCCGAAGACGAACAAGACATCGACCCAAGCGCAGCAGGAGYTGGAGCAGCTGCAACAAAGGCCACCACCGTCGAGGAGGAACTGGATCTAGAATTCCCGAGTCTCTCGGCCGCCGCGACCGTGCCATTCGAGGGCGAGGACGACGAAATCGCGGCGAGAGGAAACGAAGCAGAAAACGGCGGATCCGAARCCGGCGAGGAAGAAGGGACCAAAGAGGCGGACCAAAGGCCCCACAAAAACAAGGCATCCGTCTTTATGACCGAAGAAGAAAAACAGCAAAACCTCAAGCCGCTGTCGAAATCGGGACGGACCTACAACTCGTTCCGCAAGTACAAGGGACTGATGAAACCAAAACAGCCCAAGAAGAAAGTCGAGCCCGTCGAGGAAGAACCGCTGGCGCCCGAAGCATCTTCGTCGCTGCCCTCTGGCGAGGACGAGGCCCAAAAGCAGCAGCAGCAGCAGCAGCAGCAATCTTCTAGGTTCCTGGGTGGCGGCGGCGGGGGAGAGACCATGCTGGAGGAAGACGACGACGGTGTTGGATGGATCACGTCCGCCGCGGACATCCAGGTCATGAAAACCGAGGGCGGGGGACGCCTGGATCCYGGAAAGACGGGGGGATCCGGCGAGCCGTCCAAGGCTCCCACCAACAAAGACAAGGGGCCCACCAACGACCTGAGAACCGCGTGCGCAACAACCGATTTCGCCATGCAGAACGTCCTCCTTCAGATGAACCTGATCCTCCTGTCCACGGAGGGGATGCGGATCCGGAGGCTCAAGTCATGGGTCATCCGGTGCGGTGCCTGCTTCCACATCCACGGAGCCGACGAGGACTTCAAGGACGAGACCAACCACCACATGAGGCGRCTCTTTTGTTCCCACTGCGGGTCCGGTGATATGATGCAAAGGATCAGCGCCAGCGTGGACGGAAAGACCGGCCGCCTGAAGCTGCATTTCTCCCGGCGGAAGCAGGGCCGCCACCACAGCATCCGCGGGACAAAATTCTCCCTCCCCAAGCCGGGGGSCGGCAACAAGTACAAGGGRGACTTGCTGCTCCGGGAGGATCAGCTCCTCAGCGGTGCCTGGAACCAAAAGGTCAAGATCAATTCCGGGAAGAAATACCAGCAGTCCCGATCGCAGTCCATGTTCGGCCGGGACATTGCCTCGAGCGTTGGCTGCAACGTCCGTTCCACCTCCTCGGCAACCTTTGGGGGGAAGGGCTGGTCGAACTCGACCAACACGTTCTCCTCCAATGGTGGATACGGGACAAACAGCGACGACATTCGGGTCGGTTTTGGCGCCCGAAAGAACCCGAACGCCGCAAAGGGAAGAGAGAGGAGGGGCAAGAAGAAAAAGTCCTCCGATCGCGCCTGCGGCATGAGGCGGTATTAGAGCTTGTCATAGTTCTGTGCATTGAAGCGCAAGTCTTTGCTCGATCCTGTAGACAAAAAGTTATTCTGATTTGTAGTATGTAAAGTACTGGATACGTGCCAGGTCAAGCACCGTGCTACTTTGAATTGATTATCATCGTTGCAGTTCAGCTCTCGATGTCTTCCGACAGAGAAAGAGAAGATCGACGTGTGTCGTTTATGCCAAGAGCTAATCGTCTCATTTTTTATTTCATGATGATCGTACATTGTTCTCTTCTTCCTTGCACGGAACGCAAGAGAGCAATTCCCTTGCAACAGGTCAAGAGAGCCAGGTGCCCATGTAATCATACAAAATGTATCAAAATGGCTAGTTCAGGACGAAGTGCGTGTCGATATTCGTAAAAGAAAAGTCAGAGTATTCAAGTTGTTCCGCGTTTCTGACCTMAAGCAGGAAGAAAYAACCCTTTAAAATGAGCTTCGCTAGCATTACGATTTGATYAACCCCATTTTGTTCAAACCCAACTAATGTACCCTTCACTACGAAATAGCTAGCTTGATMTTGGAGTCCTTYGGCATGCGTATCGAGGCCGTCATTCCCTTGCCCAAAAGGCACCATTTCGAGTCGCCATTTCCACGTCCACCAGAATCGCTTAAAACCCGGATTGCGCCTGCGGCGCGGCGTTCCAGTGTCAGCTCTCCTCCGAAATGCCGCATATGCCACCGACTCAAACTCAATCCGACACCAAGACCCTTGAGAGGGCTTCGAACCACTGTCGTGTTCGTACCAATAAAGAGAAAGGAGACGGTTGCAAAGCATAATGAGAGWGAGAAGTAGATCCCATACAAACACAAAAATATTTGCGAGAACTCACARCTATAGGTTTGTTGGTCGTCCATGCGATCCCATACAGTGTCCCGCTGTGCGAAGCGAAACAGGCGTTCCAGATCGAAATCATCGTCGATTCCTCCCCCTTGATCGTAGATGTGGATATAGATACTTTCATCCTCGGGTGAATCCAAGACCTGGAGATATACAGGAGGGAGRTGTTGGGGCGCATCATCATCGGAATCRCTGTCCGAATCGCTGTCCGAATCGCTGAAGTTGCAATCTTCATCCATCGCCGCCGAGACAATCTCAGGATTTCTTTCCACAGTAGCCGCCATGGCATTTTTCAACAATTCGATCAGGGTATACTGCAACCATGACCGAACAAAGGTTGCCGAGACCGATTCATAGCTGTTATCGCTGGCGGGGGCAGGAGAAACGCAAGAATCTCCGCAGGAGTCATCGTCAATTTCTTCCGTCGCAGCTACAAACTCACATTGTGGAGAAATGAGATAGGTTGCTTCGCACAGCTGAGAGGCTTCCGTTGCAGAGGCTCGCAAAATGGATGCCACCGGATAATCGACATTGATGGCACCGACAATCTTGCCGTTCGTAGCAGCATCGGCGTCATCGTCGGTTGGATTAGCTGCCCGTTGTTGTTTCCGTTTGGCTTCAATTCTTTTACCAATGCTGGTGCCAAGTGCATCCTGGCCCGTGGCCATCATGTGCTGAGAAAGCAGTTGCTGGGTCATCCGGCACCTCATGAAGGCGGAGACTGTGTCGTGGACACAATCGAGGTCGTCGTCGAAGGACTCTCCCGGTGGAAGAATCAACGGATGCTTGCTATGTTTGGGGCTGAGGGGTTTGAGCAGAATGACGAGCTCACTCATTTGTTCGATGGTCATCGCGTGTCGGGCCGAGCTTTCGGAGGCGTTCTGCACCAGTGCATTCCAACGAATCTGCCTCTGCTTTGGATCCAAAATGACAATCGGATCCTCACAATCATCGTCGTTGTCGATGTCCTCGTCTCCGTCGGGACTCCATCCCATGTACTGGAACTTGGCACTCTTCCAAGTGTCGTAGTGCAAGCGCTGGAGGTTCCGCAACACTTTCCGTTCGTCTTCCAGGATGTGAATCATATCTTGGATAGAGGCCGATGCCTGGTTGCTGTTCCGCAGCAGATTTCGCAACCTCGAGTGAAAGTCTTCGACACGTTGCTGCAGAACAGTCAACCGTTCCGAGTTGATCTCGAGGCGTTTCATGAAATCGATCATCATTTTGGAAATCCAGCGATCGTTTTGCGGATCGTCGTCCCGAATAATCTCATCTACTGAAATGAATAGATCCAGGCTCCACGGCTCAAGGTATTTCGCGAATTTCGAATCCGGGTTCTCGTTGTGGTTGTCGGCTCCCCGATTAAACTCAAAGGCGCTTTTCCCCCATCTCCTGTCGCTGAGACTGCTGTTACCGCTGCCTAGAAATCGTGTGGTTCTAGTTGCGATCGAAGTTCTTGAACAATAGCCAAACGTGTCGCTCGCTGTTGCCAGCGACATTCCAGACATCTGCCTGTGTCGGACCCATGGTCTATCTTGGACAGCGGTACGTGTGCTCTTTATTCTTCTGGGGAAAATGTGCAATAGCCCGAACGAATCACAAGCATTCGACCCCGTGCTGTGAGTCGAATACAAGGATGACGGGAATGGCAATTCCTGGCGACAGATGATTCGTTTCCCCCTCGTTTCCAAAGGCTTCGCCAAGGATTGCAGCCAGCATCGCCCACTCGGTCTCGGAATCATCGTTGCCAATTCGTTGAGTGCAGTCGCTGATGATGCAAAGAGAATTTCGATGTCAATCGAAAGGGCAGGATATCGCACGGATACTTCAAAAGTTGTGCGAAAATATATTTGATGCTGGAGATGGTCTTCTCAACTTATTTGCCTTTCCTCTCATATCTTTCAGAGCATAGAGAAAAGCTTTTTTTTCAGTCCTCGGTCTATTATTATTTAACAGCTATCTCTACAATCTCTTCAACATCTGACACGAGTCATTTATTGGATCCAGTGGTACAACTAGAATAGCCGTACGTAGTCATGCCATCATGCACCGTCAAAGAAGAAAAAATCTGAACATTTGTTTGGTTCGCTCACTTGTTGTTGTTCATTGAGTCGTTGCTTCAACAATTGTTATCCATAGTCAGATAGTAGTACGTATGAAAAATAATAACTTACAAGCATAGCTTGATTATGGCTTAGTACTAGTGGCTTTGCAAGTGGTCTTCATTGATGTTACTTCATGGTTGAAAATTTCACTTATGGTTGAAAATAAATGGGTGATTTCCGTTATTCTAAAACTCTAAAGCGCCAAAAGTAGGGATCTAGAATAACGGGAATCAACACATTCAACGGACAGACTAGTACTACTAGTAACAACAGGATGCTGGTTCAATGCCAGTCTTTTCTGGAATTTGGGATCTTAATTATTTTTCAATTTAAAACACCAAAAAGAAAACACGCACCATTTGGGCTGGTACAAAGTAAAACACAAAATTTTYGTTTTTTGGTACTCTCTACTAGAGCGAGAAATGAACACAATTTCTGCTTATTTCCAATAGTACTTGGTGATACTCACAATCAGAAAATATGTTCATACCTCACRCTAGCTAACAACAAGAAGCAGGCAAACACACTATTAGACAACAGTTTCCTTCTAGCAAGAAGAACAACCACAGCAACAATCATGGGTGTCTTGGAGATCATTGTTACAATGCACTGGTTGTACATTCATCTGAATAACCAAAGTTACAAGAAGAAGCTCTCTCCAGAGGAGAGACGCTGGAGGGATAGGAGAACACCAAGGATTGCAATCAGGAGATGTGCTGATTCCCCCTTCCTTCCTCTGTTCCACTCAGGGGATGATCAACCACTGCTTAACTGGTGCTGTGGTGTAGACCATAAGGTCTTCAGGGAGCTTGTGGATGTCTTTGCACCAGTATACAACAACAAGTTTACTGTCAACAACARCAAGAATGAGATCGTTGAGGTTCCTTGTTTCGCCAGTGGCAAGCCCAAGGGGAAGAAGAGAGAGGTTGATGCAGTCTGTGCAATAGGGCTGGTTTTTACTGGTACAGGACAAGAGGATCTGTTGCAAGGTCAATGGCAATGGCCTTAGGATTAACATCCACAGTGATGTATAAGTGGCTCAAGTTTTCACAAAGAGTGATGCTGGTTGCTCTTCAAAAAAATCAAGAGGGCATGGTCAGTRTTCCGACCAATGAAGAAGTGGATGCWCATGTTAATGCTATTGGAKAGAAGTATCCAAGGCTTGGAGAAGAATGTGTTTCTTGGGCTGCTGCTGATGGTCTCAAGAGTGYCATTGACGCGTCAGAAGACTGGTACCAACAAAGAGCATTCTACAATGCCTGGAAGGAGAACACCTTTGTTAACAGTGTGTTTGTCTTTGCCCCAGATGGAAGGGTCAGGATAGCAGTCTTCAACTGTCCAGGGGCTTGGCACGACAGTGCCATTGCTGACCATGGTGTCTATGACAGGATTGAGGAGGTTCATGATCAGTCAAACGCAAAGGTTGTGGTGGATTCGGCCTTTGCCTTGAAAGAAAGGGAGCATATCCTCATCAAAAGCTCACAGCAGGACCCTGAGGAGGACCATCTCCTCCTTATCAATAGGGATGCTACGTCCCTGAGGCAGATGTCGGAGTGGGGAATGAGGATGATTCAAGGACAGTTTCCAAGAATCAAAGACAGGATGTTCTTGGAGGAGCATGGTGGGGACAGAAAGATCATCATGAACTTGTTGATCAACTTGTACAACTACCAATGCAGCAATGTTGGACACAACCAGATCCTATCTACCTTCATGAGGATGCCGGCAGCAATGGATGCCAATATAGGACAACCCTACAAGAAGAATGATCTTGCAAGAGCTTTCTTCTACATTGGACGCGACATGTCCCCACATGGAAACAACGTGTTTGGGTGAATCCCATGGTTGACTGGTTCATTTTGGTTRTGGAAAGAAAGGAAGATTAGTAAAGAAAGATTAGTAACAAGGAATGTAATTAGCAAATGAATTAGCGAATGCGAATATGCAAGTACTACATCGAAACCACCAATAGACGCAGCATCAGTAGACGCAGCACACATAAAGACACAGTGTCAGTAAATGCAGCAAGGGATGCACTTACTGTTAGAACACCACATCTCCCCTCATCATAGCATTTACAATTGTGTTAGAAATTCATTKCTTCTAATATATCATAGAGGAGGTTTGSACTACTAGTAGCAAGATATAGTCCTTGTGGGAGTGACTATCTACTAATAGTGATGCAAATTGAGTTCTAGAAGAAAAGTGAGCCAATGCTCTTATTGAGGATCAACGAACTATGAAATCTTATATCAATCAGCATGAAGATTGAGTGATGTGTGAATCAAATGAGTCAAGTCAGTCACATGAGTGAATCAGACGAGTCAAGTCAATGGTGTGGATCCATAGGATCAAATTAGTCATAAATGTAGAGTGTGTATGAATCATACTAGATATGTTTCATCATGTGTTTGTGTGTGTGTGTGTGTGTGTGTGTGTGTGTGTGTGTGTGTGTGTGTGTGTGTGTGTGTGTGTGTGTGTGTCATAGGTGATTTGTCCTGTCCTGGTGTCTATTGGTGGTGCTGAGAGGTATGTGAAGCTAAAATGAGGAATAACCAAATTCATAATTTTGACAAAGTTATTTTTAGTCCTTTGGCAGCAATAGTAAAGATACAGCAGTGCTGTGTGTTGGTGTCATGGGAGCTATGTGATGCTAAATGTATTCATATAACTCCCATTTTTACAAAGTTATGATGCTCACAATTTGTCTGGTTTTTAGCAAGAAATACTGGTATTATTGTATAGGCTCAGCCACACTTGTGTGTCCAGCCATGCCATTCATACATTTTTTGTTTCAGATATTCAGCCCTGTATCTTTCARTAATTGTTAATCCCCTATCCCCCATATTATGACTAGAATCCTGTTTAAACTGGCTTTTGATTCATGTGCTTAGTACCATACTTAACTTTTTCCTGTCACATGTTGCCAAATKTTGTTATGATGAAGCACATTTTGTGCATTTCATCAAACCATACAACATTGGTTAGATCAAGAAGTTTGGTGAGTTTATTGACATCATAGCAAGCTGGGGGATTGYTGGCATCAAAAGCTTCTCCAAGGAGCTCCAAATTTTTTGTTCGGAATAAGACTACTCTGAATCATTGAATGACTTGTGAAAACCAGCAGAGGCTAGAAGTAGCTCTACACCAAGTACAGTTCACATCTGATGATCCTTATTTGCCTTTTTCCAACCGCCACATCCATGGATTGAGCCTCCAAAAACACCCATGATGTATGGAAGCATAAGTCAATGTCAGTAGGCATACCTCCTGTTCTTGATAATCCAATGTCACAATAAACTTTCTACAATGTGCATTTTGAGCCCCATCCCCTGTGTACTCAATGCCATTAGTATCTCTGTAATGGCAGACATCTTTGATAACTGAGCAAGCTGTATCCCTGAATGCCTTCTGATGGCTTTGTTTGAAAGCTTTAGCAATAGTTGAAACTGTTTTTCTTTCCTTCCATTGTTGTGCCTGTTGCAGAGCACCCAAAACATATTCAAAGTGAAAATTCTTGTCTGAGACTGGTGCATCAGCTTCCTCTGAAGTTGTCTGACATTGTCATCACTAATATCTTCAAAATACTCAGTGTAGCTGACCAATTGTAACCTGCTAATAGTACTCTTTGATGCTGTCTTGGTTGAAACATCAAAAAGCTTTGCACCACCAGCTTCTACTGCAGACACTGAAACTGGTTGGACTTTTTTTCAGGGCTCTTGATTGTGACATGACAGCAAGGTTTGCTTTTTCTTGTTTGAAGATAGTGGCATCTTCAGCTTTGTTCCAAGCTCTGGAATGTTCAATTCACTTTGGTCAGTATTGCTGTTTCCATCTAGATTAGCATCCAAAAAAATTTTGGCATCGTAAGAAGCACAAGAAAACTTCTTGAAGCAAATTGAGCATCAATATGCAACAAATGGAGTGCCAGATGGGACTAGAAGAGGATCCTTAGTTTCTTYGATCCTCAGCAACCAATCACTAACGACTGTGTGAACAACAACACATTGCACAAAAGCTCAAATTACTTGCTGGCGATACTGAATCAACAGTAACAAGTATAGAGGACACAATGAAATGATACAGAGGAGGATATAGATGGGATGGATGTAGAGGATTAATGTAGAGGCTAGATATGGAAGGGATGGATGAGGAGGATCAATGCAGAGGTTTGATGTGGAGGATACAGAGGGGGGGATGGATGCAGAGGATGGATGCAGAGGATGGATGCAGAGGAGGAGGATGGATATAGAGGATGGAGGATACAGATGGGATCAACGATGCACAGGGTTGAGAAAGAGGATACAGAAGGGATGGATGCCAATGATGAATATAGAGGGGATTGATGTCAATGATGGATGCAGATGAGGTGATCAATGCGGTGGCTAAATATTTATGTAGTGTACTAGGGGATRGATRGTTCTTTAGATTGCTACTTTTAAAGTGGATTGGAAAGAACATTGTGAGCAAAACAGTAACAACAACAAGGCAAGAAGAAGTGCCAAATTCACCAAACTGGTCTTTTTTATTTCACAGCAGATGTACAAATTGTAAAGAAAAGGTATTGTCAGTCTAGAATGACACACATAGTAATACCAAAAGATGCAGGTGTACCAAGCAAAAAGCTATGCATGGAGCAAAACAAATCTGGGCTGGCAAGCTAGTAGTACTAGTACCCCCAAGAAATCTGTGTTTGAGGGGTTCTCCTCAAAAAATTTGACTAAAGAAAATGGTGATTCCATCATCATTGAACCCTCAGAATGTTCTTTTGCCACCAAAATTATATGCCTCAACAAAAACTGTTTGTTCACATAGACATCATGGCTGGGAGTTCCTCTATATAGGTAAGGAGGATTGTTCTAGTAGTACATGACAGCATAGCAAAAGAAGTCGTATGTATACTAGGGGTTCTCACAAGTGATCCTTCTTATTTTGCCTCCTCCTCCTCCTCCTCCAGCAAGATGGAGGAGCTCCCCCAAAATGGAGGAATCTTTTCCTACCAGCTGGTACTACATACTAAGAAGAAAGATAGCTCTTTCTGACTAATAGATTCTCTATTTCTGATTGGTGCTTGTTTGGTAGCAGTAACAACCAAACAAAGCTTGCTGCTGATAGCTAAAAACTGGCACGTTTTTATTGTATTCATWACATGCCCRAATTATTTCTTACCCAAACTACTGTGCGGTACGTACTATTGAAAGAGAACTTAAGTACTGTATTTATCTATGTTATGAAAATTGGCTTATTTCGTATCGCCTTGGGGCTATTTGAATAATTTTTATCAATACATCATATTATCAGTATTGCAGTTACGTACAAGGTTTAATTTCTTTAAAAAATTGTAGAAATTTTTATCCTAAYCAAGGAGTTTGACCTACATGACGAAGAGATCATGAGTGTAACGATGGCTTAGACTTCGATGCCGTAAAGCAAAAAAGAACATTTAAAAATGAACAAAAAAATCACTGTAATAAATACTACTCCGTTCGAATTCACGAGCTCACTACCACCAAATGAATTTGTACGCTCTCTTCTTGAATATGAAGGCGACGGCRAGTGGAGAAACAAATGGTCAAACGAGACCATCATTCCAACTGTTACCATCGACAAGGTGGTTCCAACCATGAAGGAAAAACAGTTGGAAACGAGCTTYGTAATCGCTGCCATGGTGTCTTTTACGATAGCAGTTTTTTTTTGCATCGGATCGTCGATATTCGTTTATCACTATCGGAAAAACCCCGTAATATCGATTTCCCAGCCGCGCTTCCTTTGGTTAATATTTGGAGGGGCCGCCCTGATTGCATCRAGTGGTTACTTTTTGTTGTTTGCAGAAATAATGGGCGACTATGCGAAAGRAAAAGTTCTGAACGGGATGTGTGCCACATGGATTTGGATATATAATATTGGAATCAATATTGTCTACATGGCAATATTTGGGAAGCTGTGGAGGATCCAAAGGGTTTCCCAGTTTCGAAGACGACAGAATGTATCAGTGAACCAAACCATTTGGCCCCTTAGGGTCATGTTTTTTGTCAACCTTCTGATACTGTCGGTCTGGACCTTTGAGAACCCAYYCAAGTATAGAAAGCTTGATAGCGAAAAAAACAACTTTGTGCTGGGGACTTGCGATTTTGTTCAGTTGCCCTACTTTGTTCCTTCTCAACTTATCCTCCTTGTTGCGGTTGCCCTGGGGCTTTGGATGGCCTACAAGACAAGGAAGCTTCCACGCGAGCTCAACGAGGGAGGGCAGATTTTCTACATTTATCTGTGCAACACGGTCACATTTTTTGTTTTTGTCGTTTTGTACAYGATGGGCTGGCTCCTCCGCAACCTCGTCGTCATGAACGCTTCGGTGGTCCGAGTACTCGGGCAAGTTTAGCAACGGTGCACATCATCAAGCCCAACTCCGCATCCGCTGGAGGCAGAAAACAGCAAGTTGATGTTGTTAGCCTACCTGACTAGACGATCTAATCGATTACTGAGAAGGYGTGTCTTCCCTAGCGATCACAAAGGAAGACCAATATCGGAAAATGAAGCATTTGTTCCGCAAGGCCTCAAAGACCAATATCGGAGGGAATATGAAGCATTCGTTCTGTAAGGCCTCACCTTTAAAGATGAACCCACGGTTTCTGGATTTGTATCACTTTTYCTGGTATGTCTGATGAGAGTTTACTTTACAGTATTGGGGAAAAATTTCGCCGTTGCCATCCAGGACTCTTTCTTGCGGTGGTGATTGACACTTCTCTCTTGACTTTTGGTATTTCTCTGAGCAAAGAATGGAAGCGAGAGTAAAACAACGAAATATTTGACCTACCAAATGGTTCTGTGCTTTATTAATTAATGAGTAGTGAAACTTTGTTCATTCGAACTATGGAAAGGGTGCAAACAATTATTTCGCTGTCGGAGTGGCTGTGCCATTCTGTTTCTAAGACCAACCGTGATGAATTTCCTCCTACATTTTCCAAAATCCGTTCGAKATTCTGCTCTTCATTCGGTATATTTCCTGAACTCTTCTCACCCACGTCACAATGCTCGTCCAGGCCTACGCCCTAGACAGAAGGTGAATGGAAACTCGAACATATGGTCTGCGCCATTTAAAGTAGACGAACAATTCTTTCGCAAGTCACAAGAAGAAGATGCAAGAGAAGGTCGACAGAGCTACAACATTCACTATTCATATTCCAATCTACTGTACCCTAGTAGACCCAGTACATAATACTGTGCCGAAAGTATCACCAGTTGCCTCTCGATCAAAGCGAAAAAACGCATGCTGTCTTGGTCTATTGATGAGGAATCAAATCAGTACGTAAAAGAACGCATTAAAAAGATACGTTATTTGCAGTGAGATGACAAATTACGGTGCAATCCAAATCTTGAATTAGAACAATTCATGCACATCAACTTAAGAATCCATAATCTTGCACATGATCATTAGGTCGTTCGATACCGAATGATTTGGCTAGAAACCTCTACTACTAYTTGACAACGAATCTCATTTGCATCCGATTATGATCTGTAAGTTTAGCAATTGAGTGAATTGGTTGTAATGATGCGGGATAAGTCTATCACAATGCTTATGCTCCATTCATTTTTGTCTCCTCGCCGCAGCTGGTGAACATCATTTCCTTCGAAAACAACTGATACAAGATTCTTATTATGACTGATTCCTGTTGATCGCTTCGTCAAAGATTCGGTTTGCCGTGCTTTCCAGTGTTGGTGATGTATCCAGCACTTTATGTACATTAAGGCCGACCGAATCCAAACTCTTGTCGCCAATTAGATCATACACAATTGCGGCATAATCCTCGAGATCTGAAGAATCGTCTCCCCCTAATTGGCGTAAGTACCCAAAGAACTCGGTGCGCAGTCTGGTGATGGATGCATTGGAAGATTCTGGCAACAGATCCTCCAATGGGCGTTCCAGAACGCTCTTCAATAGTCGTGCATTTGCTGCGCCAAACGCCTTTCGATTTTGATCGGACAGGACAAAGCTGGATGCACGTCCAATAGCAATCGTAGTATATCCCTTTAAGAAATTTCTTAAAGTTGGTCCCAGAGTCCGATCTAGTTGCTGCTTCAGATCATCACGGATTTTGTTGCGAATTGGTCCCAAAACGGGCAAATTCGATATGATGTTCCCGAATACGTCTATTGTTTGAAAGAATTCATAAATCCCGTCGTCTGTCAATAGATTAATTAGTTCGTTAGACAGTTTAGTTTTCATTTTCAAATTTTGATGAAGTACGAAGAGAATGCGAGAAATGGAAGAACGCGTATAGCATCATTCCGAAACCAGGAACGCGTAATAAATGTGTACTTACACAAAGTTTGTGCGAATAAATCATTGACTGCATCACTCTGCAGAAAAGCATTGACGGTTCTGGAGTCGCTGTAAATGTCTAGGTTCTGCATACCTCTTAGAAGTCGCTGCGTGGCCTCCTTTCCCAGCAAATCTGACAGGGTCTGCCTGCTTCCGTCCGAGGATCGCTTCAGTTTGTTTACGATTTTGTCCCAATTTTCAATCACGGCGTTCTCGAGGCTGTCAATCAGAGCTTTGTCGCTAGTCAGTTCACRAGTTATTGCTATGGCCTCTTCTTTGGAAATTATAGATTCCAAGGGTTTGTCCAATACCCAATCCACTATTTGACGAACATTGGAGGTTGCTGAAGATGAGATACTCGTACTGCTGCTTTCTACAGAACGCATCGTTGGTCCAAACAAAGGTTGGTTTCGCTTCCATTTTTGGATGAAATTGCGTGGTTTATRAATGGAGGATGCAAAATTGGGCTCGATAAGATCAGCCAAAAAAAAAGTTCCTTTATTGGATGAAACAAATCCGTGGACCTCAGAATTTGGTTTCAGGAAGCATGTAAAGAAACCAGTACAAATGAAGATCCTAAATCTCATGATGGTAGGAAATCGTTTTCGCGTGTTGTTGTATCGATATGTTGGTCAGTCAATAATGGGCGTGGTTGAAAGATAGATCGGGTGAGATAAACAATCTTCCTGAGCGAACAGAATCATTCATCATCGTCACCGATCAACGACGATTGATCGACCGTTGAAAACGAAACGACGTATTTCGTTTTGAATTTTGTTGATGCGATTGATGTGATTGTCAACTACAGAAATTGAAGTCGGCGCGCCATCGTCTGTCAATTGTACGTGTCCATATGAGAACTAGTTCTAAGGAAAGCCCCATGATGCTTGTAAGTAATCGGCAATTAGTCTTTTGCGGTGCGSTGCAAATGGAAGTCAAATTTTGAATAGCATATCAGCAAACTCATCTCATGCCACCACCATCTCATTTCCGTAACTTTATATTTCTTCAGAAAAAAGGCGTTCAACCTAGTAAATGCTCTACATTAATAATTTGTTGATACCACGATGTTTTTACATTTTTCAGACCCTCAAACTCCCTCCTTATTCCAGAAGGACAATTCCAGTCGAATAACGACTATTTTTGTACTTTTTTATTCTATTCAACTTCCATGATTCCCCCACTAATACAAATAGAAATTGGCTTGCTAAGGCAAGTAGTACTGGTTTCTACAGTACAAAAACTACTAACCAAAAGTGAATGCCAAGGTAGAAAAGTAGTATGGGTCTGAAAAGAATTTACTAGATGCTCAAATCAATGATACTAGGCRCCAGCATRTCYGCTTGTTCTTTGTCCTTCTTGTTGCTGGTGGCTCTCCTTTGTTCTGGGTGTTCTTTCTGAAATAGGAATGGAATTCACTGATTTGTTGTGTACTACTACTAGTACTACTATGTTAGGTATTGCTCTTGGTGCTGGTGGTGTTTTTACTAGTTCAAATAGTAGGCCACTGGAAGTTCTAGTAGTAGTAACAACCCTTCTTGATGAAAGCAGCAAACCAAGAGGCACATAAATCCAGCAATTTCTTGAGTGGTAAGACTAGGAATATGTTGAAACCACCAGCACATTTTCCAAAGAACWTTTTCTCCTACTACTATAATTTGTTAACAGTTCTTGTACTTGCAGCACTATTATTTGGAAGTAGAGTTCAATGCATTCCCTTGTGACTTGTTGCTTGAGTTTGATGGGTATTTTTTTATTCATATTCTTGTGGACATTGAAATTTGACCTTTGCTGCAATGTTTTGAGAAGTTACTAGTAGTAAAGTGATTACTTTTTTTAATCTCCTTCTTCAAGGACCACCTCTATCCATTCAACTTTCTCAGAATCCATAGATAGTACAGAGTGAAAAAAATATGACCCATCRGCACATCTTTATTCTCATTAATYATGATACTAGGTCTACCACTACTATACAATTTCAGCATTGGATCTGTTGCCCTTYGGAAGATTTATGTCCACCTGCAACAATTTCAGCATCTGATGTGGCAGTTGCTGGTGAGCAGCATTTCTGAAAATCTGGCATGTCTGTGTATTTTCTTGYTTCTTCAAGAATCTGCAGTTTTCATAGGTTTGAGGCCTTAATTAAAACAATAATGATAGTGTGATCTGGYAATCTATCATATGCATTTTTGAATGTGTCACTATGGGAAACTCAGAAAATATCCCATCATTTATTGCACATTTTTCTGTGTCGTTGTTGTTGTATGTTACATAAGCAATATCTTCTGGGAGATTGTCCAAAGGTTTTCATTTCTTGCATTGATGATTTGAACATGCTCTTCTTTCAAGCCATTTATTCTTAAATCATTAAGAAACTCCCCCCACCAGATTACATCATCTTTAAACCTCTSGTTTGTTTTCAGTTCAAGGAGAACTGTCACATTTTTTTTCTCAAAGAAAGATAGAATTTTTTACCAGAGGGAGTCTCCTCCCACTGGTTTGAGTGATTGAAGTCACCTACAAAGACAATGGGTAGATTTCCCACCATGGAAATTACATGATAGCTTCTTGTCAGCACAAAATAAGTTCAGATAGTACCACTTGTTCAACTCTTTGACGCTAGCAAACAAATCTCATTAATATTGAGCAGGCAAGTCTTATCTTGTTGTTCCTGTGCATCTCAGCAGTAAAGCTACTGGCTGCTGCATTGATAGGAATTTCCTTGTCACAAAGCATTTCAATGACATCCTACCAATGGTGCTACTACAACAACAAGGAGTACAATACCAGGGGCTCAGTCACTGGTGAGTCTCCACCAGGACTGGACCTACTACATATATAGGGTATGGACCTACATCACTCTAAATACTAAATACTATATACTATATGATACCTACACAAGGTATGAGAGTACTGAGCATCAAGAATACTCTTGCTAGTGCATGGCACTTGTGACATCAGAGATATGAGAACTACTAGTAATGATATTAGATGTCATTAAAGCAGAATTGTAACAACCTCTGTAGATTATATACTACTAGAATCTACAGGAGGGAATTAGTTATGTCATGAGAGCTTGTTACTAATATCTCCCRCAACACTAGATAGCACATGAGAAGGGTGTTGACACCTTCTATACTACTGAATAAGATCATGATTCTTCATTTGTTTCAATACACTTGAAAACCAGTTGTACACACCATTTTGTTGAGCAGCTACAGTTCTCAAACAATGGAAGCATGGATTTGATGCCTCAGGCTGTCTCTCCTGTTCCCAACAGCAAGAAGACAACAATATCCATATCCTCTACTACTGTTCTCATGTCAGTTGACTTTCCTGACATTGCAATCATAGTAACATATTGTTGAGGAAGGCAATAGCAACTATTGGATTCCTTTCTATTTGCACTAAAACCTTGACTGGCATTGTTGCAGAATAGTTCAACACTGACTGTGTCCTCCAGAGAAAGAATTCAAGAGTCTCCATCCCACAAAACACTACTACTACTAYTATTGGACTGAYATTGGTTGGCACATCTTTTTATGGGCCACCTTTCCCAGTATTGAATTTCAGATCCAATCTTCAATCAGGTTGTTCCTATTCCCCAGTGGTTTTGGGAGCCTCCATGATTGATTTCTTTTTATGCTCATGGTAAACTGCTCTGTGGGAGCAAAGCAAAAATCCTTTCCATGATGGTCACACTGTTTTCCAAAAGCAGGAATTACACCAGCAAGCATGGGTATGAAGCCACTATGTTTCCCCCATGACCCYGAAGTTTTCTTGCCCTATGACATTTACAACACTTCCTTCTTGCTGTTWWATGAGTACTATATCAGATTTTTTTGGATATTTAACCTGCTTCTACTACTATTCTCACTACCACTACCAATCTGATTGCTATTCAGTACTTCCCTCCACTGCCCAGTTGTAAACAACCAACAAAGAGCATCACTCAAGGTATCATGCTGGTCTTTGATGCATACTCCAAAAAAGACAACAATAGTATCGTATAGCATGGGCCAAGCAAAAAAAGACGATTGTAACCCTACATTAGCAATTAAAGATTCATCATACGCCGTACTCCCCCACGGCATTAGAAAGCTTTTTGAATTCTCTTTTTAACCATGTGCTTATCATACTCAACAAGCGTCTGTTGGGAAAAAAGTTATGGCTGTTTGAGTGAGTTGAACCTCTCTTAATGCCCTACGTGTTTTTTGTACYGTGCGTGGATTTTGGGCTATCTTTTTACTGTGTAATGACTTGTGGGATTAAAAATTTGCATGTGTTTGAAGCCAAAATTGTCAGTTGAGCACGTGCATGCAAAACTATTTGGTCGCACACTTGTGGGACTCAAAAATTAACACTACTGAGCACATACATTTTGTACGTTTTAGTCAAATTAGTCATTACACGCAAAAAAGATGGCCACAAATACACAGCTGGAACCGTACATTAGCTGGCCACCAACTCTATACAATAATACTTGAAATAATTTAGCATACCTTAGTACTACAAATCCAGAAACAATTGATCGCAGCACTAAAAAAGTGGTTTCCATACTTAATTTAATGATGCCATTGTTATTTTTTTGGTACAAATTCTACAGAACTCTAGTACTGAATGTTGCTCCCCAAAATTTTCAGCATGAATTACCTTCTGAGAAAGAAGCAGGATTGGTTCTCTGCCACCAGAATAGTTGCAAACTGCCTCAGTACATTTTGTGCTGTGTTCTACTGCACTAGGGATGGCATCATTAAGAAATTAATAATGGGAATCAATTTCTTAGTGCCGGATTTGTAGTATATCTGCACTACCCCAATTGTGTTCCACCAGGAGTGCTGCACCTCAAAGCAACTACTAGAAGCAATCTTCTCTCAAGAATTGATGCATGATTCTAGCTTCCTGAGCACCTCTGTTAGTTCAAGAAGACAATGAATAAATTAACTTCTGTTTTGATGGTTCTTGTGTGACAGGTGCATTAATTTGTTATCAAGTCTTAGGAATAGGATTCTCTTTTAACTAAAACTAGTAACCAGTTTAATTTTGGAGTGACCCAACCAATCATCATAATGACTCCCCATCAGCATAGTAATTCTGATAATGACTCCTCCTCATCAGCATACTACTAGTAGAAGTACTACTACTACTACTAAAAGAGATTCTTAATATTATATTTTACCTTCCAAACTAGCAGGGGAGGCATTAGTGTGACTTCTATGGAGAAATATTCCTCTTCTTGTTATGCTATTAGTGAGGATCAACTTGAAAGAGGTTCAACAACTGTTGGTATAGTAGTAGTAGTAGTAGTAGTAGTAGTAGTAGTAGTAGTAGTAGTACGTAGTAGTAGTAGTAGTGCTGGAGCTACTGTTTGGAAAGTTAGTTGAAGAGGTAAAGAAGCAAAGAGAGGAAGATGCTTCAATGGAGATTGAACAAGCACTCCGGGTGGCTGGCAGGAGAGAAATGTAGACAACAGGGAGGATAAAATTAATAAAATAAGAAAGTTGTGCAAAATGGACGAGAAACATTTTGAGCAGAAAAAATATTGCGAAAACAACAAGATCTTAAATGAACTGAAATCAACAATACAAGCAGTACAAAAACCTAACTAAAGTACACATACTRCAGTAACAAATAGCAGCACATTGCGGATAAAAAATAGTGGCAATACATTGAGAGTTTCTTCTTTTTCATGTGAAAAAATTGGCACTACTAGAAGTAGTAGAAAAGTTGTCACTACTAGGTAGTAGAGAGTTGGCAAYAGGGGAGAGGAGTTTGAAACCAATGGGAGGAATACAGGAAGTCAAAATAGGATAAAACACTTTTCAAATAATTGAGACAATTCGTCTCCTCAAAATATACAAAAAAAGTTCAACAAATAAAAGAAGAATTGAAACCGAGCACGAGAAAGGGCATTGAATTCCACATGAGAAACGAGTGGTTCAAGAACATGTTCCAAGAAGGAAGACAGCCAGATATTTGCATATGAGCAGTACAAAGTACACACATGAATTTAATTTTATGTACCAGGGAAAAACAAAGCACCAAGAAAGTACTACTATCTGCCTGTTTCTTCTTGTTGTTGTTCTTGTGTGACATACTGATATTGAAAACTTTAATTTAAAAACCACTTCTTGGCCAATTGATCTCAGAATTCCAGATAACCTTCTTCTTATTTTAATGAAGTTATTCCAGTACATGTGTGGAGGGGAAGTGTTTCCAATAGCTCTGTCTGGAGGGTGAGACAAACCTTGTGCTGGTGTTTTTTTCCTGACTGGTTTTTCTGTATTCATAACCTGTTTCAGATTTGTACCACACGTTTGGGTTCGTACCTCGTACCGTATGTAGAATGACTAAAATTTTTCCACTGATTGACTCCAGTACTATTGAGTTTGTTATTGATCTGYACCGTACTAATTTATGTTGTGATGATAAAGTGAAAAGTGTATTYGGGATCCATTAAAACTGATTTAATCTTCACGATTTGTTTAATGTTGACACACAATTTTGATAAGTAATCGGAAGTTCATCTGATTATATGTGGCATTGAAGAATTGCCATTGAACAAGATAGTTCATGATTCTTCATTGGTCGGGGATGGTTCCTTAATGAATCAAAATGACTGTTCGTCGGGGATAGGAATCATGAATAAAAAAGMAGTTCTTTTTCTAGAAGTACGTGCGTGGTACTTAATTTATGAAAMGGGGAGAAATAATTTCAAGGAACTATTCCGGGAGAGTGCMTTTGTTTGTACGAACCAAAAAWGAAGGAAGAGGATAAGAAAAATAAAACAGATTTAGTCGCGCGATAAGAAGAACCGGATGTCTAGCAATCTAGCAATGCTCAGTACCGCGCATACGCTTACCAATTTACTAACACGTAGGCTGGAGACATCATAGACCATTCAAAGAAAGAAGACGTTCTTCTTATTGTCTTTTGACGTGGGTCAGATGGATGATTATTTGCGTTATTTCAAGCGTGCGATAACGGCTGTAATTGAAAATCGGAAAAAGGAAGTGTCTCAGCAGACCACTAGAAGAAGAATCCAAAGAAAGGTGACAAGAAAACGCCAACAAAATAATTCCATCGAAGTTGAAGGYGRGTGAACACAAGAGATCATCTTCGAATATCATCCTTCATGAGTAACGACCAAGCACAGAGGATCTTTGATTCTGTCGYTGCAACAACGAAACCAGACAGGGGCCACGAACTTCGTAGTTCATTGAAAATTGACAAACTAGCCCATACGAGTAGTGGTAGGAGTGACGAAAGCAGCAGCTTCCGAAGTGAAGCTTTCTCCAACCAGGCTAATATTACAATTGGTCCGGTGGGTATGAACCATCTTCATCACCAGTTACAGCTACAGAATGCCAACACAGGGAATTCCATGAATWGCGATTCTACTAGATGCGTCGACAACGGACCGGTGATGAATGCTGTTTTCGCTGTAAGTGACTCTTCAACTTTGCATCAAAACAATGATCCAGCTTCTTTGCTAGCGATGAACAATAACACCAATGGAACCATTCTCAACGCACAGGCTCTGCAGCAACAGGCGCTGCACCAAAGTAAAAAAATTTCCGCCAATACAAAACCTGCTGCCATCACTTCTGCACATGTCGGTACCTCAGCTAATCATAATGCCAACAGCAACGATTATACCCCGTGGTTACAACATATGATACTGAACCAGATCAATCCCCTGCCAAAAAACGCTGGCAACATCAAATCCAACACCAGCGTCGGTACTGGGGATAGTGGTTACCACGATGTTGGAAACCATCAAGGAAGGTCACATAACGATAACGAACAGCAAAGAAGTGAAAATAGCCTTAGCCATAGCACAACGAATACGTTTCAAAATCAACAGCAGCATGGACCTACTTCCATGCAAGGTTGGCCCACAACAGYTGCAGCTACATCTAATATTCCTACAGCCATCTATGCGCAGCAGCTCCAACATAGATTTCTACCATCACAATCACAACCACAGCAGCAGCAATTACAAGTTATTCAAGGTCAGGAACAGCAGCAGCAACTTTTGGCAGCGAATGGATTTGTATCACCACAGATGCAATTGCCGGCGACGGTTCACAACCAAGAACAAGAACAACAGCAGCAACAATTGCAATCGCAACAACAACAAAAAGAACAACAACAACAGCAGCAGCAGCAGCAGCAGCAACAACAACAACAATTACAACAACAGCAGCAGCAGCAGCAGCAGCAGCAACAGCAGCAGCAGCAGCAGCAACAACAACAACAACAACAACAACCGGCAGTCGTAACAAGCAACATTGGCAACTATCAAATTAATAAAGCTCCATTACCTGCCACCACAAGCACGATTCCTTCCATACAGCAGCAGCAGCAGCAGCAGCAGCAACAGCTTCTCTTGCTTGCTTTGTTGCTGCAACAGCAATCAAATTCAAATAATAATACTGGTGCAGCGATGGTGGATTTGAATGCACTTTCTATGGCACTTAGCTCCCCGGAAGGCATTCGGTTGCTCAATTCTTTTGCGATTGGACAGGCAGGAGTTTCAGGGACACAGCAAAATCCTCATGTCAATCGTCAGGGGCAGCAGCCTCAGCACGATACACCATCTATTGCGCAGACGAATCGTATGGCTGTTCACAATATTATGCCATTGGCAACGACGATGATAGCAAGCTCACAACAAGGTGATGCCCTCGCCAATAACCAGCCGTCTCTCTTCCTTTCTCCGCAATCTATACAGCAGCCTCAACTGCTACTCCAAGCTCCTCCAACTCTCCCCTCGGCTCAATCGCAACCTGCATTWCAGCTRCATGAGAATGCAAATGCAACTGGGGGGGCGTCTGCTGGGATGTTTCCAGCTACTGCTGCTGCCGCAATCAATCAGCACCTTGCGACAAGAGCAGCCCCACCACCTCTCCACCCTAGTTCCGCTGTATCGACAGCAGCAACAAACCCTTCCTGCTCTTCTACTTCCAGAAATTCTGGTGCGATGGGCTCCATGCTGACAGTAAACAATGTGAACAGCCAGACCGGATGCGRAAAAAACGTCGACCGGAACGTTCGAAATCTGCTCAAGAAGCGAGACAAGAATAGTAGCACCATGAAAAGRRTGAACACGAGTAACAGCAGCTATAAGCCCGCCACCAAGTCACGATTTCCTCGAATTTTGTACAACGAGGCGGACGATGGCATTCTTGGCGAATATCAAACCCTACTCAGACAGCAACTCGAGCTATTCGAAGCAGACGGGCAAGATGTCATTAACGGAACCTTCCGACAGGGAAGAACAACTCCCATCAAGCTTGGACAAATCGGTTTGCGTTGCAGACATTGTGCTTCGACTCCGGTGTCGATTCGATCTAAGGGAAGTGTCTACTGTAAGTACCAAATGATGAAAATTGTAACTGAAGCGAAYCATGTGCGAGTACGACGATTCCGCGTAAAGGACGGTGACAACTTTATTTTTCATCTTTCTGCGTTAGAACTCCGTYATGAGTATGTTATTATTATTATTTGTTTGCTTGCGTGATTTCGTTGGCTAAAGAAAAATCTTTTGTTCTCCGGGTTCTTCTTTGATTTGCGCMCCCCCTTTGTTCTGGGTGCAAACAACATCCCATCTATCCATTCGAAATCAACGTTTTATTTTACTTTTTGGTTGTCGAAATTGGGAATCATGGAAAAATTATTCAATTCTCAATTCACGCGTGACCATCATTTTTCGTGCTTTTATTTTGAATGATGSGCCCGTAGTTTCACAAACCATCAAGGGAATGTATCAAATCGCTCAGAATATGTCGAAAGTTCATTTATGCGAACGATGCGTGCGTGTCCCGGAAGATATTAAAAAAAGGATGATTTACTTGAGGAGGTAAGATTTTTCTGTGTTTGTCACAGCTCAATCAAAAAAAATTAAGGAAGGATCTCGGTTACATAGCTCCTAGACTCAACCATCTGTATTTTTTTCTTTTGTCGCTGATTGCTTACTTCATGCTGTATCATCGATACTCTCTATTGTATCGTTTCACTCTCAATTCAAACCTATCGATTGTTGACAACACTTAACATATATAGTCGGAGAGCTCGCGCGTCGGGGGGGAGAGCGTATTGGATACGTCACCTACGTGAAATGGGGATCTACGAAGATGGAAAAGTTCTCAGAGCTCGTCCTGAAGGGTGGAAGAAACCCAAGAATCTTCTTCACAACGAAATGACCAAGCCCAATACCGRGCAACCTCCTCCGGCTCCTAGTGGCGGGGATTTGGCGACTACGGGGTAGGATATCTGTTCGCCGCAACTACTGTAACTRCTTGTTAATGGAATGATGATTAACGTAATTCCACTTCTCAATCGAGGCCATGAGAATTTTCTTGGAATTCAACTCTCTCAAACAAATCAAACTCGAACATCTCTATCAAGTTTCAACGCAAGCGTTTTTCGAACCATTACTGTAGAAGCATACMGGTAGTGTCGACAAAACTATCCAGATCAGTCAAGGAAAACTCTGCATAATCATCAAGCAACGTCTTGATGATTCAAAGAAACATGGTAAAATACTCTACTTATACATGAACAATTGCAAYGAAGAGAGAACAATTTTTGGCTATTGCCTCATTACGAAAGAGACGCATTCAACTATACGCTGCGCACATCGTTATTCACATTTTTCCACTGTAAACGCAATAGCATCCATGTCAATAAATATATGCTTAAAATGCTATTATTTCATGACCATGTCATTCCTCTTTTGCATAATCAAGCAATCGAAGAAATTGGTTTTCCCTTTCTCCTCTAGTGGTATCGCAATCGCCCTTGTCACTACCTTGACCATTACAAGCCACGGTATCTGTAGCAATYGTCGTTGACGTTGTTGCTGATTTTGTCGGTTCGTTGTATTGCAACCAATTTTCGGGCGACCAGGCCACCCCAGCATCAAGCCCTTCTACCAAATGGAGCTGAAAGGTRTGGCGCTGCCGGTCGCTAAAATTCGGTAGACTAAAATGATCGAGGGTTCCACAAAAGACGACCAGATCCCCCGCCTGCACCTCCACGGGAACAAAATTGAGAGACGAGACATCGCCACAATCCGTATCACTTGCTGCCGCCTCGACCGATTCGGGCAGACCTCCTTCCCACGTGACCTCGGGGTGGTCGTGATGGGTTCGAAAGGTCAGCTTGGACTCGCCGCCGTCGCTATCTTTGCCATCGTTCTTATTGTTATATCTCGGGTTTCGGATAAACTGCCGCCGCAGGGGCTCGAAATGGGATTTCGGCCGGACCCAGAGGCATCCATTTTCGAGGGTAGCGTCGTCCAACGCCAGCCACAGACCCAGGCAGGTCTGCCGCGGGGTAGTGTACAAAAAGGTAGAATCCTGATGGGAATGAACGGCCCCGCCGACCACCGGATTCTTGAAAATGTACATGGACTGTGGTACCACGGGGTCTCGATACCCCAGCGACAAGACCAGCTCACGCAATTTGTCGGATGTTGTGTAGTCAAAGAAGGGCTTGTGGACGTCATCATCGTTGTCGTTGTCGTTGTCGTTGTCGTTGTCGTTGTCGTTGTCGTTGTCGTTGTCGTAGTTGCTGATGCCTCTTCGAAACGACGGGGGGAGGTGCAACCCGTGCCCCGCCTTGCACAGGGCAAGCAGCTTTCGGTTTTCTTTCGGAAACGTTTCCCCGTTCCTGCAGCAGTTCTCATCCCGAAATTCCGGTTTTAGGGCTCCGGTTTCGGAGTCGAGCGCGGTGGGTTCCGCAAAGTAGGCCACTGTTGCGGCGCTTTCCAGAAAGGGATCCCCCCTGGCTTCATTGGACTCGGCGTCGGTCCCAAAGGTCGTGGCAACTTGCTCGTCGTCTTCTTTTTCGTCTTCGTTCCCGCCGTGTTTTGTTCCMGGTTTCGTGGTTCCTTTTGGGTACCAGTGCTTGCGGACGGATTCCGACATGGCAGCCTTGAGCGTTCGTGCCTCATCGGGATCACAGAATCTACGCGCAACAAAGAATCCATTGGAATCAAAATGCCGCTTGCGAAAGGAGGAGGAGCATGGTTTCTTCCCCACACTTTGTTCGGAATCGCTCCTAACTCCGTCAACCCAAGAAGGGGGGACAGGGGATAATGAATCCGATGCGCTTTCTTCTTCGAGTCTTTCGAAAACACTAGTCGCGTGGCGGCGGAGGCGTTCAAGGTCACCGGGTTCCAATGCTTTGGTTTCGCTCAACCGGATGGTTTTTGGTGTGGTTGCCGCCATTTTCTTTTGGTACAGATAACTGGTTTTGCGTGAATAGCTCAAACCTGGACAGATTTGATTTTTTCAGAGGATTGTTCGTGTCGCGTTCGTGTGGATGTGTAAGTTAAACAGGAATGCGCCATCGTCTGTCGCCCATGCTGTTCTGAAATCAAATCCGAATTCGTGGAAGATCTCATCTGWGATGTTTCGAGAGGGAAACGAGATATTCGGGGTCCAGGTTCCAGGCCACGTACGGTACGTATGTACATATAGTACGTATGTAGGAGAAGATAGATACTGTAATACGAAGTAAGTAGTACTCGTACCACGGTAGATGCTACCTAGATATTGAAGGTCTTGCACCGGTACGTGCTAACTGTACCCGTTATCCCTGTCGTACCAGAACTTAGCAGGTACGTGCGTCCCTACATACTTACATACGTACTCGTACTGTGAAGATAAATCCAAAMGGCTCATTTTTTTGTGTAACTGAATGTTTGGATGCTGACTCGATTCGTGAAAAATCATCTCGTAGCCCTAATAACACACATCACCGAACACATCAAAGAAAACAACAACTCGTCATTTCAATAATGATTTCTGAATCGACCTGAGGTTGGGGCAACGATGGTGCTTTCGAGCAACACATAACGACAGCATAATAGAATACCAAACCGCGATCGGTTTGTTTTCACTCTTGASTCACACATCGAAACTGACAATAATAAGGAATGTCACTAACGGCTAATTTCTGTGCAATCCAAGTGGCGTCGTTGGGATTAGCGATTCTGGTCCTGTCATTGCCATCGTTGGTAGAGGTAACAGCCTTTTCTGTTGTGAATAGCTGTCCTTCTACTCCTTGTGCTGTTCTGTTGCCTGGTCTCCATCGCATTTCCCGCCATTGTTCCATATTGAGATCTTCGAGTGACGACAACGACGACGACGAAACAGATCAGCAACCACAGCGATGGCCGGATTCGTTCGCGAAAGATTGGTTGTCGCTCCGGCTCTCGATGTGGATCATGGGTGGCTTGACAATGGCCGCCACCACGGGTACCGCGGTTCCCGTTCTGGCAGCTGCGGATTTTCAGGAGGGAATATCGCCCGTCACGAAATCGGCGCTGGGAATCTCGATCCGCTCGACGGTCGTCCAGAGCGCCAAGCTGGTGGACRCGGTTGATTTAAAATGGGAGCGCTTCAGCGACTCGCTTCGGGATCAGCAGAAATGTGATCCCCGGACAAACCGGCGGTTGTTTGACAACGGGATCCGCAGCGACGGGACGCCGCGAGGGAACCCCGTACTGGGGGCCCTCTGCGAGCCGGTGCCGCTTAAGGTTGTCGACGAAGGCCTCTACAAGCTTGTCCTGGACCAAGGATTGGATTCTGCTGCCTACGAAACACTGGGAAACAACAACATTGACCGCTCCACACTTAGGGGAATGGTCGACCAAACGAGAGACAAGCTCGAACCCGTCTTTGCCAGAGCAATCAACGACGGCAATTCTGTAAGCCAGCCAACAGCTTCGGCACCATCGATCGACGAAGCAAAGAAACGGCAGCGATACAACCTAGAAACCTTTGCTCGCATAAGGGCGTACAGCGAAGCTGTGTCAAAAACACCGCCATTTTTATCATCATCATCGACACCAGCTGCTACTACAAAACCGCAATCGAAAGCCTCCTTCACTCGCGAAATAGGGAGGAAACTCGAGCTCGTCTGGGGCCGCAATCTGTTGGAAATACTTGCCGGACCGACAAGCGAAAGCTACGAATTCCAATCCCCTTTTCCGAAACCCGACCCTGATATACCCCTTCCGTATGATGCGGACCAATTGGCGAACGCCCTTGGAGCCATCGAGAAATCTCTGACCAAGCTCCAGGACGGCGGCTTGATAGGCCACTGGGAAATATCCATCCCGGAAGACGATTACGGAGAGGTGGTGACGATCGCCGTGGACGACGATGTTTGTTTGGGGGCACAGATTCTGGCGCGGGAAGAGAACAGTCCCCTTAACGGATCCCCCGTGGTTGCAATGGTCCGTTCGGCTCTGGAAGATCGAGCGAAGATTCCATACGCAGCACTTGACGTGTTCTTCATCGATCCTAACACCACTAAAAACGAACTCTACAATCCCACGCAGCTTTTGATCAGCTTGCGGAACCTGGGGGAAGAACCATAAAGATCCCCGACTATCTTTTGAGTAAACAATTGGATAAGAGACCTGTTTTTAATCCGATCCTATATTGGTCTGCTTCAGTGGCAGTGGAAGTCGAACGCACTGTATTGGGAATCAGTGTTCAATATTCAACAATAACCTCACCCCTAATATATATATTTTGTGCTAATTCGTGCGTACTAGAGGTTATCAGATCCTTCTAGAAGTAGTACTACTACTACTGATAGTAGTAGGTTTCAGTTATTATTATTATTAACTACTACTAGTAGTAGTAGTAGTACTACTACTAGCTACTAGACTGGTACTAGTAGGACTAGTACTACAAAGTACTACTACTAGTAGTACTAGTACTACGTCCGACGTACTACTAGAGGCACCGGTAGTATAGTACAGGTGAGTGTGCATCAGTGGTGAAAGGGCACAGTGAGTGTGTATCAGTGAGTACTGCTTTTCACATAGTAGCACTTGTAGCACTACAGCTTGCACTAAAGCTATCACTACAGCTATCACTACAGCTTGCACTATGTGAAAAATAGAATTAGCGTGAGAAAATGATATAGAAGTAGTTAACCAGTAGTAGATCTAGTACTGAAAGTACAGCAACTACTACTATTACTATTTCTGGTACTACTTCTGTTTTTCACATAGTAATAGTACTACTACTAGTAATATAATATATCAATATTAGTACTGATACTGATACTGATAAATTGGCTGTTGTATTCTTTGGTGTATTGCTTGTTGTATTGCTTGGTGTATCAAAGCTAGAGCTGGAGCTATATCTAGAGCTATATCTAGAGCTACATCTAGATACAGCCTAGTAAGCTACAGCCTGAGCTACATTCTCAATACTACTAGTAGTTACTGCTTGTTGTATTGGTTGCTGTAGTGCTTGGTGTATCAGTCTTGTATTGCTTGATAGCTAGAGCTATATCTAGAGCTATAGCTATCTAGAGCTATATCTAGAGCTATATCTTGAGCTATATCTAGAGCTATCTAGAGCTATATCTAGAGCTATATCTAGATACAGCCTAGTAAGCTACAGCCTGAGCTACATTCTCAATACTACTTTATACTGCTTGTTGTATTGGTTGTTGTATTGGTTGTTGTATTGTTCTTGTATTGCTTGTTGTATTGTTTGGTGTATTGCTTGGTATATCAGAGCTATATCTAGAGCGAAAAACAACTCCACACAAAATAGTCATTACATGTGCAAAAGTAGTGGTACCAACTATGGTACCAGTCGATTTGGGGGTTGGGCCTATTTAGTACATTTTGCCATAGCTGGCGTGGCAATAATGAGAATGCAACTTTAGTTGCAAATGACTAGTACCGTGGGGGTATTTGACCATAATGCAACTAAATATGCAACAGTAGGAAGTCATGTACAAGTCTACGCACATGTACATACTAGTACTGATTTCTGCTGTCAGCATACCATCATATTCAGCAAAATAGAGTGAAACTCAATTGAGCAGACTTACTTTCATTTACAAGCTAAAGGCAATTTCCATACTAAACAGACATATGAGGGAGTTAATTCTTGACAAAACTATTATCTATTTCATTATACTAAGCTCTTAAAGGGGACAAGCAGTTACCACCAGTGACTCGTATCAGCATCCTCCATATCAGCAAGCCTCCATAACAGCAAGCCTCCTTAACAGCGACTTGTATCAGCCTTTGTATCAGCCTTTGTATCAGCGGCTTGTATCAGCGGCTTGTATCAGCAGCTCGTATCAGCAGCTTGTATCAGAGCCCCTGCATCAGCATCCTCTGTATCAGCAGCAGCAAGTTTCTGTGTCAGCACCGAGCTTCTGTATCAGTGGACGCTATCAGCGGGTGTTATCAGCAGACTATATACTATCAGCAGAAGCCCCCGTATCAACGGCTCCTCTGTATCAGCAGGGAGCTTCCGTATCATCATCTCCGTATCAGTGAGCCTCAATATCAGCATCCTCCGTATCAGCAACTCGTACTATCAGCATCCTCTGTATCACCAGCTCCTCTGTATAAGCAACTCGTACCAGCAGCTGGTATCAGAGCCTCCATATCAGCGAGTGTCCTCTGT